CGGTTTTTTTCCTTAGGAGGCATGTTTCATTGTTTTCTTACGCTAAAAAGTTTCTCATGGCGGATTGCTCAATGAGGTTGAATCCGGTAAGAGAGGCCAGTTTATTTTTTCGTGTTTGTTTCGTCAGTATGTGTGCGTCACAATAGCATCGTCGTTCTCCACAAGCTTCACTCATTGAAATCTTCTCTCTTCGTGATATCTACTTTTATCTTCTCCGCAACTTTGTTTCCAGCTGATTGTGCTTTATGTATGTTGGTGTTTTTTCTGCAATTGTGTTTTTGAGGATGGTTTGGGGGAGGGTTAATACCCCATTGTGATGGGATAGGACTGAGTGAGGCAAGATTTAATGATGTATGGGATGAAATGGAAGTGAAGAGAGATTAGATTGGATAGTGATGGTATTAGCGAAAGGTGTTCTTGTTATTGTACTTCTGTTGGATGGCTGAATGAGATTCTCTTGCGACTAATAACTCGTCCAATATCTACGCTGCGTTTATCTGTCCTCTTCTCTATGCTATGTTGCTTTGATACCACTCATAGTTGGGCCTGCAGCTCTATCCCCCAAGCTCATCAGTTGATTGCCGTCGTGGGGTTGTGAGGTGGACGGATGGGAGTTGATGACGATGCCACGGTAAAGTGCGTGGCCGGAAGTGGTTGCAGATATCCAAACAGCTTCCCTTTGTCCTGGTGCACTTTGTCCTAGTGCAGTACGCAACCTTTAATCGTTATCTCCCCCCCTCCCTCCTTCCCTCCCTTCCTCCCTCCCTTCCTCCCTCCCTTCCTCCCTCCCTCCCTTCTACTACCCCTCCCTTCTGCTGTTGGTGTGCATCCCGGGCAGATATATGCCTTGGCTTGCATGACCCTAAGGTTCTTTCATTCCATTCCACTCCTTTGCATGGTCCATCCATTCATCCCCCAGTTGCGGGAAGTATACATACCCTAGGCGTACACAATTCACGCTTCTGCAAACCCAAACCCCAGATCTGACCTGCAGGGAATGGACAGCGTGGTAGCGGCGGTGGCGGATGTTATTTCGAGCTATTCACATTTTGTGTTTCATCAGCGTGTGCGTGTGAAACAGGACCAGCAGAAATTTTTTCTGTGTGGGGAACTTCTGGAAGGAGATCGATCTCGGGTGCATGCGTCAGGGGGCCTGGTTACCTAGTTTGTGTGGGGAAGGATCGAGGCGCCGAAAAAATATTATACAGGAACAAAGTGGATAGGATGGGATGGAGGCAAATGGAGGGATATGTTATCGGGGGGCGGAACAATGCAGATGTTGCTATTGCAGTTTTTTAGGACATGTTTCGTGGGCCTCCACTCTAAAGTAGGGGAATCGGATGGATTCCCGCGCTGATGATGGTAATTGATGTTTTTTTTGTACTTTTTTTCTCCGTAGTCCGCAAAAAGTGCTCGATGGCGTTGAGCAAAGTGCAAACGGGATGGAGAGAGGGGAAGGGAGAAGCGGTCCCCTTGCTGCTTCCTGCTCGTTTCTGCCTTTTTGTTTGACGACGGCAAGTGGCTGGACGGGGCAGAGTTTGTGTTGGTGATAGATGTGCCGATGAGCGGCACGGGCGACGATGGCGACTGGGACGCGAGGGCTATCGTGAGTGGTTGAGTGGATGTGTGGGCGGGAGTGTGGGGTTCTGGATCACATTTTGTTGGTGTTGAAAGGCCAATTCCTCACGTCTTTGTGAGGATCAGTTCGGCATGTTGTGAAGCTGTCTGGTATGCTCGGACACTCAGCCCTCAGATACCGAGAACACCACCAGCAGCACAATCACGATAAAGAGAGGCAGTTGCGTTGCTTGTCGTCGGCGGGCAATACTGAATTGAGGCCTCGGCTTCTCATTCTGGGACTAATACGCATTTCCGCTGTCGACGACGAGGCCTGTTCACTCACTCACTCCTCTCCAAAGTTCCTGGTTCCCCTTGATGTTGCTGACAGACACTAGTCTGACTACACTCTAACACGGCTGTTCCCCCCGTACATAGCAATCAATCCATCAATCACCGCGCATCCAAGGAGTACCACTTTCTCCTTGCTAAATTCACTCTTAGACTCTTTGCCTCCATTTATTGCGCGCTCTTCCCTCTTCCCCTCAAGAGAATTCTTTTCCCTCTCCTTCACGACACCCCACATTATTATTTTTTTCGAAGCTTGACCTGACCCTGTCAACCGAACTGCTTCTCTCACCCCACGGTTACCATACTGCCGGAACACAGCAGCAGCCTACACTACATACTTGCTACAGCACAGCTAAGCTTGATAAGCTCCATTCGGCTGTCGGTCTTCACATTCGCTCACTTCTAAACAACCCCTCGACAGCCACCCGACGGATCCGATAAATTTCCTCTGGCGAAACTTTTTTCCCCTCACCCATTAGCTCAGGAGCTTCCTTCCTGCCAACAACCACCACCACCACCACTACCACAAGTCACTACGACACGAAAAAAACCCTTTAATACAACTTTCACACAATGCCCTCTCCACCAGGCTCCGCTCCTTCAAACGAATCCGCGCTTATTCCTCCGAACCCCACGCCGACTACGCACTCCCGCCGCGGCTCGATACCCAAGAGCATTCCCGCCTGGAGCAGCGGCGATGGAAGCTACGAGGACACACTGAGGAAGGACATGAGTCTCGTCGCTGAGGCAGCAAAACGGGCGAGTGTTCAGATTGTGGTTAGGGATCTGAAGGATTGTCGGGTGTAGCGATGAGAACCACCGGGAGAGATTATGTTCATTGATACTGGACCACCATTGCCTATATACCATACGGTTACGGACTCCTTTTTCTCACCTCACCCCCAGCTGAGGTTGCTATCTGGCCGGATCTGTTTTTGTGTTTCCTTGGATTGCGTGGATTGTTTTACTTTGCTCTGGCGGGTTTACGGAGGTATAGACGGGGGGGTTGGTAATTATGGGGAATCCTTATTAACTATCATCCTTTTATTATATTGGACTTACGGTTGTCTTTATCTTCTTCCCTGGCTGGTTGGCTTAAGCTTCGACAACAGCAAACAGCCTTTATTAGTACTACCTTACACACTTTGTAATAATCTTTTTTCCCCCTTCAGTGACTTTGCATCGTCATTGATGTTCTTTTTGTATTTTCTATTCGGTACATCTGGGCGTGTTCGTTCGGACCCCCGTCACTATTATTCTTTTATTTTGCTTTACTTCTGCTTTAGTTTTGATTTTGCTCTAGATGGATTCTGTACCGGTGTTCATTTTGTCAGTTATTGTTTTTTTAAGGGAATGGGGAGTGGGACGGAGGGAAGGAGTGATTCGATTGGAATATAAATACGGATGGATACACAAAGACTATCTTCATTACAGTATGGCTAATATCCATCAACCAAGAATAGTGTTGTACCTAGCTGGTTGGCTGGATATATCAGGGAAACTTCGGCTTCGAGTTTTGCGTACCTATTTCACAATTGCCGTGGGGAAGAGCCAACGAAAGCCACGAAGCCCGCGGCAACGGGAATTGATGTCCAATATACTGAGTGACGTGTGATGAATGGATTATGCATTTATCAATAATGATTGATGGAATATGATAGATGCATATGTGGGTATTAAAGGCCTCGCTAGCTCAATCGGTAGAGCGTGAGACTCTTAATCTCAAGGTTGCGGGTTCGACCCCCGCGTGGGGCTTTTTTGCAGGGGGTACTGCGTGGGGTTGCTATATAGAGGGGTTGTGATATAGAAGACTTGGACCAAGATTCAGACGATATCGCCGAGCCCCGAGTACAATATTATGAGTTCCAACCACCGGGTGACTCAACTCATATGATATCGAGAGCTTTTATACTATGGGCGAGATAAATAGTTGTATGTTCAGTAAGTAGGTTTGTTGCTTGCACTGAGGTAGTCAAAAAAAGTTTTTTGACACCCTCTTGTAGGAAATTGCATATAAAAAACTACCCCAGGTTGTGTCAATACTTTTTGACCGACCAAGTAAATAAGTCACCAAAAAGACCTGTCGAATCATGGGATATACTTCAAACCTGGCAGGTATCATAAACACTGCAAGACACTGGGCTTGAAACAATTCTAGATCTTTTTCATGATTGAGAATATAGGTTTCTTTCTTTCTCTCGTCATAGAGACCCCCTTGGTATATAGAGTCTTTGATCCCAACTCAAGATTGTACCTAAGTCGAGACCGCCAATAAGATTTCACGTAGAAACAGGCACCAACAAGATCTGCAGCGTTTCCCTTGAAAATCTCGACTTAGGCACAATCTCGAGTTGGGATCAAAGACTCTATACTTAGGCAGTCTTCCCACTTGCTCAGTATGGATGGGGGCTCTGTAAAATAATGCAATATCTGAGTTGGTGCATAAATGTCAGGCAGGTGCCTCAAAGTCACAGGCTGTAATTTGTAACGAGCATTACGAACGGCCCATACAAAATATATTTTGAGAAAGAGAAGAACCACTAAAAAGAAGTACGTGCTTAATGCTCTTTGTCCTAGCCTTGCCTTTTTTTTTTTTTTTTTTTTTTCCTTCGGAATGAGATTTCTACCCCAGGTATCCGTATATCTGCCCAATTACGTTCTCTTTTAAACTTGAACTGAGTCTCTGGCTTGGTTGGTACGTAAACCACTGCGTACAGTAAACGCCGGGTGTTTGAGAGGTGGTTGATGAGACATGATCATGTGTTACTCGTTTTCTGAAACAAAGCGGTTGCACCCTCTCGAGATCTTGCTTTATGCAAGGTGTTGTATGAATCCCAGGTTTGTTGGAGGTTCCATTGATCTAAATCAGGGACCCAAGAGCTTTTGAGGATAATTGTGGATGGGTGCTAGGTGCGAAGGGTATAACATTGTTTCCTGGGAGGAAGGCAGGGACTGTGACAAGAGCTCTAGACTATTGATTCCATCATACGCTGTCTTCAGAGCATCGAATAGTATTTTCGAAAACTTGGAAAGCGAGTGCATAGGTATGGTTCGAGGTGACTGCCTAGCCAGTGCAAAAGTGCAAAAAGAGAAGGTCGTGCTGGGAATCGAACCCAGGTCCCGAGAAAGTTTAATGCCACATCAAAATCTCATGTGCTAACCCCTACACTACACAACCCTGTTGATGTTATATGAAAAAAGACGTTAGCTATAGTCACATTGTAGCTTTACTGCGGTGTAGTTGTTCACGGGTTGTCACTTATCGAACTTTATGCGGGGAGATGGTGTCTATACTCTAACACAGACAGATCACGGACAGCCACACTTGGCTTTGCTTCATCTGTTTCTAGCCTTTTGCTTCGTGGTCCACTGATTTGAAGCTTCAAACCTCACAAGGACGAAAAGAAGCGGCGGCGGCGGTGGAACTGATCTGCGTTGAGCGGTTTTATGGTACCCTACATACTCATATGTGCTTCCCTCTGCTAAGGCACATGGGATTTAAGTTCGCTAATATATCTTGGATACGGTGCTTAAGGTTCGCTCGGGGCCTGTAATCAAACGTAAATACAGTTTCGGGCAAGAGATCCCACATCTACTACTTTCTTCAAACGATGCGTTTTTTATTTGGGGTAGAACGAGCTAGGGCCATCGTAAACCCTCGGAGAACATTTTGCAATGCCATAGGGTTGATGCTTAATCCCAATTCCGTATAATCCAGAGAATTGTATAAGCGTACAGAACGAACATAGAAACGTAATAAACTTGCCTAGATCTCCTGATATACGTAGATGTTAGTAAGTGGGCCGGCCACTTGACCAAGTAAGCTACTTGCTAACGGAGTCGTAACAGAGACAGCAATGGGATATGGTGTTTGCGGTTGGTTTCCATACTGTCTATTTTTGTACCAATTAATACAACCTTTAAAGATAGATGACTAGCAGTAATTCACTCTTTCTCTTTGCTTTTCCAGTCCCTTCCTTTTCCTTGTCCTTCCGCTCCTCACCCTCTCTTCCGCTTCCCCTCCCTTCCAATTCTTCTGTTCCCATTGTACTTTCCGGTAATCTCCCTCAAAAGATACATCAAAAGAGGCCTCGCATATGCATCTTCTCGTGGATAGAATTTGCCACTGCAGATGGTGTACACTCGCAGTTCCTCCTCAGTCACGTATATTCGTGGATATATTTTCCCATCCCTTATGATGTATGCATTCAGCAGTAGCCGCTGCTCAGCCAACTCCTTCCTATAAAACCCAATGCTACTCATGATGTACGCTTTTAAGTTCTCCTCAGTCGGAATCTCTAAAGATTTAACTATCCGTGCACATTCATGCATATCCACAAGGTTGACGTGAGCTTGCATAATATTCTGCCCAAATCATAGACATATGAGCCAATTGCCTCCCAAAGGTCATATTATCATCAACTCACCTTCCGCCGATCATCAAGGCTCTCCGGAATCGGCGAGATCCCCACCGTCTCACACAGTTTTCCCCAGGCGACCAGATCGTTCTCCTCGTGGCCAAACATCGGGCCAAAATCCTCCACCACCGCGATTCTAAATGCTGTCCATGCGGCCTCGTGTTTCTCGCGAGCTATCCTAGTTTCAGGGCTCTTACGCTCTCGTTCCTCGCGAACCTCTCTCTGTTTGTCTTTCTCATCTCTGGGGATTCGGGGGGGCCACATGGAGACGCGGCGCAGTCGGCGCCATTCGCTCCAAAATGGGGCAGTGCGGTTGTAGGGAAAATATGAATACTTGGCAAAGAATTCATTGATTGTGTCCCTATGCCTCTTCGGTTGCGAGACGGAGAAATGGCGTTCGAATGAGTCGAGACTCTTTTGTGGGATGGAGGGTCGATGTTCAAATGAATTGTGATGTAACTGGCGATCAACGTAGTTGCGGTTGGAAAGTGGCTGCAGGACTCTGGTTGTTTGATGGAGGGAATTCGCGCCCCTGCGATGAAGGGGTCGGGTAAAGTGGAACATCATGATGATGTACCTATACCGCTGATGGAAAATGGTTGGTTATTGATGGTACCCCCCCGCTGGTGTTTTGTCGATGCTGCCAGTGATAGCAAACAAGTTTGACAGAGTAGGAAGTCTGTGTTACTCACGTCCAAGTACTAAATATGAGTCAAACACACCGCCAGCACATATATGAGGGTGGGAAGAGCAGTTGTTACACAACTGTTGCGGCAGATCCGCTGTCAGAGCGTAGGTGAAAACTGTTGATTGATCGTAGCATCTTATGCAGTTTGTTGTTGCGGGGTTAACGCGCATTACGCTGAAAGCAAGTCAACGCCTGAATAGCAGATGCTGAAGCTAGAAATATGTGATTTTGATTGGCTCACAGTCCGTGACTCCAAGAAGCGTAGGAGCAAATGCTGGGGGCTAGATATACGAGTGAATGAGGGTGAGCAACTTTGAGGAATCATCTGAATTCCTTTGCCACAAGAGGTCACGATCGTATATTCGGTACTGATTTCAACGATAATTTGCCATACAAACTCGTGGAGCCTTTTGCCTGGTCAACTTATTATAATTTACAAGAGATCGAGTAGTGTTCGATTTGTTAGACACTCTCTTGCCCTCGTCCTCCACCCGCTCTTCCACCTCTTCCCCTTCCCCTTCCCCTTCCACCATCTCTTCTATTCTTCCCTCTATCCCCTTTGTATTTTCCAGTTATCTCCCGCAAAAGGTAACACAACAGAGGCGCTGCATACGCTTCTTCCAGTGGAAAGAATTTGCCAGTTTGTATGGTATAATTCCTCAACTCCTCCTCGGTTTCATAAATCTTCGATTTTAGTCCCATCCGCCGATACTGGTGCATATCCACAAGATTGATATGGGTATTTAGGATTGCCTGTCTGTAATGTGAGTGAGAATTCATGAAGGAGGGGCGTAATCATTGTTGGACACACGTTACGACGGCCCTCGAGGTCCTCTGGGATCGGCGACAACCCAGCAGTCTCACATAGTCTCCCCCAAGCGTGGATGTCATTTTCCTCGCTGCCAAATGTCATGCCAAAACCCCGTACTACCGCGATTCGAAAGGCTTTCCAGGCAGCTTTTTGTTCCTCGTCTGTACGTTCCAAGTCGAAGAAGTCGCACATGTCGCGGAATTCTTGCCAGAAGGGAGCGTTGTGATCATAGGGGTACTCTGGATACTGGGCGAAGAACTCGTCGATTGTGTCTCTGGATTGCTGTTGTCCTACCCCGGGGCGAGATGCAGAAGGTTGGTGTCTGGAGGAGTTGAGATGCTGTTGTAGGGCGTCTTCGTTGACGAAATTGCGATTGCATGGGACACAGCGATGAGGCATATTGACCGTAGTTGAATGGTAATGGTGATTTCTCGTGGATGAGAAGAGTAGTATGGTAGCGGGGCTTTAGTAGTTTAACTATGGAATACCACCTTCCTAGGAGGTGACCGGGCAGCGGCACACTGCATGCAGTGGCGATACATTTTTACCACAAAATGATCTGCTGGCTACATATATTAAGATGGTTATAACTGGCCCAATCTTTCTTCAACGGATAATAAGATACCCATGGACAAAGTCCGATGAAGGGGACAACTACAGAAATTTCAAGAGAACTAATGCATATATCCCAAGGGATTTGTTGCAATGGGGACAGATGTAAGGCAGCATGCCTGGATCCGGAAGAGAATCAAAACTCCATCGAAGTACAGTTTCTGCTCGGAGAGGTAATACGCAAGGCGACTCTTTCTTTCGACAAAACTTACTCATAAGATCACTCACATCTCCAACTCAATATATATGATCCGCCCCATTCAACTCGCCCCACTCAGTATCCCCATAAATATACACATTCTCACCCCTCTTCTTTCCGCACCAATGCCACCTTGGCCTCCGCAGCTCTCTGCTATAACCACGCCCATAATTCAAGCACTCCTCACAAACATAGCACATGTAAATAGATGTCAACGCCAGCTTTTGGTCGGTGACAAGAAAACTCAACATTTCTGGATGAAGAGTGAGAAAATCTCCAACGCAGATTCGATTAGATGAAGGAAGATGGGGTTTCGAAGACTACGAAATAATGGGGGTATTTGTGGAGTCGAATTCAGGACACTGGCGAAGCTACGGCAGATATTTAAAGCTGGCATAAATGACATCCATGTTCCACTCTATCTTAAGTGTGATTAAGAGTATTGAGCTCGTTGCCCTTTAGGGAATACCTCCAAATTCAACATCCTCACAAAAAGCGCCACCCCGAGGAGATCATTTTAATCGCCCGCTCAGCATAGTATCCGAGAAACTTTACATGATGATGGTTTAGATCAACATAGACAAGAAGCTTAACTGTCTGGGCATGGTGCTAGAAACACTAGGTGCTGTGCTGTAAACGCCGAGTGCGGGTTCGAAACCTGCAGCGCCGTAAACACTACTATCGTAGCAAACATTACCTTTTTTGCTCCTCTGCGGTGTCTGCAGATGCCATGTGATGGGATATATCCCGCCTTGTAGTGAGAAAACGCAAAGAGGTCAATGAAAACCCAGGATGAATTTGCGACAAATTTACATGATAAGGGATCTTGTGCTTCCTCCCGCGAGCATTGTCTACTTTCCCCGGCTTAAAATCCAATCCGAAAGAAAAATGTGTCGTAGTTGGTGGTAGTATAATTTGTTAGACGTACGATAGTGCATGGGCTCGTACGTAGCGAATCTAGAGTATAAACCGTGTGTGTGAATTGTAGGAGAGAAGGAGAAGAAGTTATGTCTATCGATCGACTTCATACGTCATTACTCTAACAGGTAGATGCCCGTATTACTTCATCCTACATAGGCAAGTCGGTCGCGTCCTGATTGCAGCATTCCCTAGCGCTGAGGGCCAATCAGTGTGGTATTCTACGCTTAGACTGAGATTCAGTTGGCTACCAACACATTTTAGGTTTTTCTGGTGCTTAATCGAGCCTCGTTCTCCCTCTGTTTTCGGAGAGACACTACTGATTTACACAAATAATATGATACTCTACATTCTACTGTCTGTTCACTGTTTCTGCGATGTCCACTCCAAACCCCAGCCGACTAGCCAGAGATACTTGCTATCCTCTTCTCCCTCAAAAACCATCCTTCTCCTCCCAGAGATACCAGAGCTGGAGGTGGTAAAAAACTCGGTACCTACCTTACGTCCACACTTTTTCAGGTTTACTAATTCA